ATAATAATAATAATGATTAATTTTCGTTGCTACAAACGAGTACTAACGATTTAGAAGTTATCTGTATGTTTTCCTGACGTCCTTCATATATTTAAGATTTTATTAGCGGAGAAAGTATTGACGGGGTTGATAAATGAAATGGAAAAATATAGTACATACAAGTACTATCCATGCTGAATCCTTGCCCATGATAATTTTTTCTGTACCTTCATTTCCGACGCTGCACGATTTTTCCCGCACCTCTTACGTCTAGGGGTGTGGGGTAAAAATGAAAAAGAATGTAGTACATTCAGGTACTCACTGAGTACAATCGATACTATAAGAAAGACAATCGATTTATCAAACTTCGACTCCAAGTTCACACAGCTGGATCACCTTAAGCTTAGCACGTATGAAAAAATCGTATATAAATTTTCTATACGGATTGCGAATAGAAATTCGATAGGATTTCCGTATAAGTATAATATTCGGATATTTCTTTACGAATATTTTCTATTCATAACTTTTTACATACATTTTTGTTTTCATACGTAAGATGTCTAAACGCCCTATAGGAAAACGTAGAGAAATGTCGCAACTTCATGCGGAATGTTTCTAGGGGAGGATAGGGTAAACCAGACACTAGACTTTTTTTTAATTATTCATAACTCAGAAAAAAATCGATCAATTGAGCTCAGTTTAGGCTCGTCATAAAGGGAAAGAATTGTTCTTTGTGTTTATGTTCCTTTGGTTGTTCATTGTTACTTTTATTATTTCCAAAAATGAATGACAGGATAAAAAATACAATGAACCACCAACTCAAGTCTGCGCGCGCGACGCGGTCCTTTCTAATTGAATCACAAGTGTGACCTCTCGGGTTGTCATGTCGTTAAAAATATATAGAAAAAATATAACATGACAAGGCTCAAGATGTCTATCTGTCTACTTAAGTGGTGCGGGGAGCGGGTAAATGGTAATGGTAGTTTCTCGGCGATGTCTTCCGAGGGGTAAAGAGAAAAAGATGTAAAAAGAAGAGTGGGAATGGATGTATTCACATTATACACCCTCTGTTCTTTTAATTTCTTCAAAGCTCCACCCTCAGATCCCATTCCACGCCTCTGGATTAATAAGGCGTCGACAATGTGACGTCTTTTTTCTTCTGCTCCGACATACCCAGGAGCTGTAGTGAGAGAGTCACTCCAGCGAATGGTACAGCGGAAAGATCGGTGGTGGGGGCGGTGGGACAAGAAGTGGAGTTGATAAAAGAAGAGAGTGGTTAATAAATGTGTTCTTAGGCACTGTGACGTTCATCTGGTTCGTTTGGTGGTGATGCGAGTATTAAGGAGAGTTTATGGAGGGTTCCGGAGGAGGCTTAATGATGGTTTAGTAATTTTTAACTGTTTTAGTTGATTTTTAGTTGTTTTAGAAATTCATACGTTTAATGTTTGCCATGAATATTGATGGATTAGGAGTATGAGGATTTGATGAACTTCGATACCTCAAGCGTTTTTATTCTCAATTTTCAATGAATGGGGGTGGAACATGCTAACGTATTTGTTAAGGGATACTTTCAAAATTGTATTGGAAATAATAGTAGATTTTGCCGATTCCATGTCGGGATGTTGCTAAAAGATGTGTTCTTGGGCACTGCGACGTTCATTTGGTTCGTTTGGTGGTGATGCGAGTATTAAGGAGAGTTTATGGGGGGTTCCAGGGCAGGCTTAATGGTGGTTTAGTAATTTTTAACTGTTTTAGTTGATTTTTATTTGTTTTAGAAATTCATACGTTTAACGCTGGGATTGATTTTCCGTACTCGTTGATCATTGAATGTTTGCCATGAATATTGATGGATTAGGAGTATGACGATTTGATGAAATTCGATATCCCAAGCGTTTTTATTCTCAATTTGCAATGAATGAGTATGGAACACGCCAATGTATTTGTTAGGGGATACTTTCGCAATTATATTGCAAATAATAACCGATTTCGCTGATTCCATGTCGCGGAATTGATAAAAGTAGAGAGTGGTGAATAAATGTTTGGTAATGATGATACATGATACACGAATTTTTTGATACAAGTAAAGAAGAACTTCTCAAAAAATACTTGTTTCCTCAGTGTACACGGGACACGACCCGGAGTTCCGGAATAAAAATTTGAAAATCTAACTACTTACTATATTTTTAGCGGATATTTTCATTGATAGGGCTTCTAGATACTTAAAAATGAGATATAAAATTTTTTCAAATTTTTCTGAAGCTTTATTGCAGTGTAATTTAAAAAATTGGAAAAAGTGCGGCGTGGCGCGCATAGCGCGACCAACGGAGTGTTGATAGAAACTTGTAAAAAACTGATTCATTTTCTAATGGAATTACTCTAGCGAACCCGCACTTTTTTATACGCGAATGCTTCGACTTGAGATAATATGAGTAAACATGCACATACCTTATTCAAAAGATAGTGCGAATTTTTAAAAGAATTTTCTTGTTGAAAAATCATCATTATTAAACACTGCCCATTAGACTGGCGCAGTAAGTTCGTTGGCTCACATGCTCGAGGTCCCGGGTTCAAAACTCGGACGGGTAGAATGGTGAGATCTAACCATTTAAAATGTCGATCAGATTTCGCAGTATATTCAAAACTGAGTAAGCGAGATGTAAGCTTTGCGATTTGAAGCTCTTGGGGTATTACTACTGATCTATTTTTGCTTTGTATCATTTCAGCCAGAAATACAATAGTTTCTCTACAATAAGTTTATTTACTCCCTTTACAGACATTGAAGCCAACAGATCCGCCAATATTCGAAATCACACATTTGCTGATCAACGAGACCGCAACCCAACTTGCGCTCTGGGGAAATCTTGGAATAGTCGTAGTCGAATTGCCAAGGAGATGGGGCAAGGACAATGCCTTTCAAGGTGGCAAGAAAGAGATCTCTTGCGTGTGAGTATATTACGTAAAATTATCATTCACAATATTTTAGGTGTTCATTCCATTCAATCTTTGTTCTCATTGTTCCGTTCTGATATTTAGATTTTTTGAATTTCGCAACTCTAGTAATTAAAACGATTATCAGTCCTTGAACGTAATTTTAGTGTTCAAAAGTTGGAAGTTAGAAAGTGCAAACGTTGAATACTAACCGCCTCATCAACAACACATGCCACACACTTAAAAGCTAACGCGATTCGGGGAGTATAGGTACCATTTTACACAACCCTTTAGACACTTGAAGTCATACAAAACGAGTCATAGTCATCCAAATCTTAGAGGGTGATTATAACGCAGAGGCGATTAAGAGATATTTGGTATTTCAGAGATAAACGTTATCGTTTAACTTCACCCCTTCGAGTTCATGGTAAAATTCGAACAATTTCACACCTCTATATATAAATGAGGACATAAAACAAAGCCCCGCACATGACCCAGTCATTTGAATATTTTTAAAAAATCCCACTAAAAATAGTCCTGCCCAAATTCAATTGTCCTGTCATTCAGGCTACCAATCGACAATTATACTAATGAAAATTGACAATATATTAGTAGCGAAGTGGTAAAACGGTACAAGTCAATTTTGACATTGACCAGTTTTCAATGAATATCTCGGAATCTAAGGGAGAAAGCAAAATTTTTGTTATAACCATTTTTGTAGAGCCGATTGGGTGCTACCACAAATGTAATTACGAAAATTTCGCATCTTCCTTAGATTCGGAAATCTTCCTCAAAAACTCAACTGAGAGATAAGTCGACTTAAACCGTTTTACCCCTTCGCTACTGATATATTATTTTTCATGGAGTGAATAACGATCTATCACGGATATTTAATTCAAAAATGCTAAATCGTGAGAATCCCCCTATAACTGGAACATTTTGTTCCAAGAATTTAGAAGCTTTCTGTGGATTCGTTAATCTCAAAGATAATTGTACAGGGTGAAATAATTGATAATTGTACCATTTGAAATAGGATAAATCATATTTCAATTGTAAAATATGATTTCTATCGGAATTTTTATTTATTTTTCGAAAGAAATATCAGATCAACGAGAAAAAGTGGGCAACAGAATCCCATCAACGTTAAAATTTTTCGACTTTGATTTTCACTATGAAGTTGACGTGAGTGGGGGAAATGATCACCAATTATCAAAAATTTTCTGAAAATTGCCGATAAAAATTCAAAAATTATACTTGGAATTTTTTTTAATGCATTTTCAAACATGTTAAATTACAACCCTGGGATCTCTTCTACACGATAAATCTCCTCTTTTGAACATAAGTATTCGCAAGAAATTTACCTACAATATTTACTGGAATGTGGATATTTTGTTGAATTGTTAAAACATATTTGACTCAATATTCAATTTGTAAATTTCTTTGGAAAATTCAAATCCATTCTAAAATTTTAATTTTTATTAAATTTGAAAAAACTTTGTTTTATTCCAATTTATGATTTGAATCCTGTTACGACATAACATTTCTCAAGGTGGGCTGAGTCTTTCAATGCGTTAACAACTCAGAATTGATGATAACTCTGATAATGTTGTTCTCATTGAACTGATGAAGATCATAGCATTTTTAGAGACAAACAAGATCCAATTACCCCAAATTTGACCGTTTCTCTCGAGGGGCTACTCACTCCAGAAATCCCGGCGCCACTCTGGCAGGAAATCATCCCAAAATCACGTGAAATTACCGAAATCACTGCAATCAAGTGATTTCAGCTCTCCGAAATCATTTTCGAAATCATCTCCGAAATCACGTAAAATTGCCTAAAATCAATGAAATCACCGAAATCAGTGGCGCACTAGCGTAGTGTGAACGGTGCAAGTATGTCGTGATTTTGAAATTGACACGCCTGCCAACGATGATAATAAAATGCCGTATATCCTGCCATAGTAAAATGGTAAAATGGACCGCTTTACATCGTCATTAACTCAAGATTGGCAGAGTGTAATCAAACGAATTCATTATTATTTGTCAGTTATTATTGCCAGTTTTTATTTTCATAATATATCAGAACGCGTTTTGCCCCAACTCTATTATTTATTAACTTTACTTTTTTTAAATCACTGATTTTGAATTAATGAAATCATTCAAAATCATGAAATCACCCGAAATCGATTTCCGAAATCATTTTCGACATCATGGTGTCACTCAATGATGGAGTGAGTAGCCCCTCGGTTGCTCTTGAAATACATACGTCAAATGATTCTATTACCCGTCAGTTCTCCCTCACCACTCGATTCGAACATAATTTCACAGTCCATTAAATCATCAACCTGTCCTGAAACTCATAAAATAAAACTTTGCACCCACTGAATTATCCAAGAACTGAAATGTCCAAGAATTAAGCTTGAAATCTTACCCAGAACCCAGCGGAAAGGATTTATGCAGGGAAAGTTGTGAACGTGTAGCTTTTTGAATGTTACCAAAAAACTTTCTACCATTATTAAGTGTCTTGCTTACGCTTCTACTTCCTGCCCCCGCCCTTAAATTTTCTTCACAGTTTTCTTCTCACCCACTGTATACACAACTCTAATGCATACAGTACACTCGGAAGAGCGTCATCATGTACACAGAGAAATGTAATGTTGGGTCGACCAGTTTGTAAGCAAGTTGTGGTCATTAAAACGAATCTCGGGGATTTAATGTCTAAACCCTCCTACCCCCTTGCGCTTTTCACTGAGGTTCTTCTTCTGTGTGCGCAGTGGAATATGTACGGAGGAGGTAGGACATGTATAGAGACCGTCACACCGAAATTCCAAGACAGGCCAACGTCTTGTGGTTCATCCTGACATTTATCACTTTTCAAGACTTGATATCAAAATTACACTGTTAAAAATTTTGGTCTGAAGTTTCCAGTACATTTTTTGGAAATTTTTATCAAATTTAATTATAATACCAATGAAATTTCAAAGAATTTCATCATTAAAAATTCAGAATTTTTGGGGAAAAATCAAAGAGAACTGCAAATTTCAGATTCATTTTTCCCTGAGAATAAATAGAAAACCACAAAATTCCGGTAAATATATTCCTGAATTTTCAGGACAGGGACACTGAATGCGATTTAGGGGGAAAAGAATATGAAATTTCAGATTTCACTGAAAATTCAATCTAATTTGGCACTGAATATGCATATTAGATTGGAATTTCAAATGAATTGGGAAATTCTCGTCTTTATGGTCCTTAAAACTCTAGAATTTTACTGAATTTCATTATTTTTATCCCCCGAAATCACATTCAGTGGTACTGTCCTGAAAATTAGTAGTCAACTGTACATGAAATTTCATTTTTTTCTAACAGTATAGTTGTTGTTGGTGAAAGTAGAAAAATTTTACTTGTGAACTATTTCAAATTGACGAGATGCACCTCTCAATTGCAGACTTTGGATTCAGAATGCATTTTTAATTGTAAGTAATTAATTTTTATTAATTTTTTTCTGTTTCATTGGTTTTATCGAAGTAATTCTCGATTTGAAACCCCTCCTCTAGCCTGCCCCCCCTCCTTTCTTTTTCTCTCATTGTTATCTGCGGTATCATGGCCGTCTTACTCTTAGCTGTGCCCCATTCGAGCTAGGACTGCACGGGAAATCATGTAAAACCCCAGTCGCACAGCCGGCCGATTGTGCAGTGCCCTAATATATCCATCTGTCAAACTGACTAGATGGAGACACTAGGCCGTTACACCGTACCTACCGCCCGCAATTTTTTGTGCGAGCGAGGTGTTCCTAAGCGATCACCCATCCAAGTACTAACACAGCTCAACGCTGCTTAGCTTGGATGTCCGCCGGAGCAACACCTCACCCACCTAACCATTACAGTCGGTTCATTGTAAGTAATTAAATGCAGCAGAAATTTATGAATCATTAGAAAAATTTGACACTTGCCAAGTATTTCAGAAATTTCCGTACTGCTCTTCACTTTTCCTCGTGCGCGGATTGGTATTAGCATATAATTCAAATTTTAGGTCTTCAGTTCATTGCGAAATTTGCACCAAGTATAACTTGGGAAAAAATAATTCATCTGTCCGAAATGATTTGTTTTCTTTAGGAATTGTAGGAAATATGTTGTTGTAAAAACTACTATAATTTTCTAGCCACTTCAATTGACAAAGTCGATTTTTTTTTTAATTTTTCCGGTTAACCAGTCAATTGTAATTAAAGAAAAACGACGCGCGACGGAGTTTCCCTCATATGGTGACCAATCTAGGGTTAAGACTTTAAAAGTCTCAAATTGAGGCAGAACCAATTTTTTCTCTCAATGCATGAATGACACTCAACAAAAAAACCCATTTGTTCCTACTGATTGTTTTTTAATTCATGATAATTACCGTTACACTACCTCAATACCTAAATACCAAAAATTCATAAAATAAACATTGCCGTTGCATTGCTGAAACTCTCCTGAAAAAGCCACCAACACCGAAGCCGGCCCGCAATGGCAAATGCGAAGATTCCAAGCGTTGAGATTTCTCGGATTAACCAAATGGCGGCAATAATAGCGATTATTCGGCTTATGATATCAGACCGCGAAGTGGCTTTTCCCCATTCCCCGCACCCTCCCTCCCCCCTTTGCCGGCCACTTTACCGAAAGAGCCACTAACTGCACCTAGGCGTCGCCCAAATCCTGACTTCAAGACACCGGATTAAAACTATTACCACCAACCTCCACTACTTCTCCATTGGTATCCGAGGGGTGAGTGCTCACCCCCTTTCCCCGCCATCTTACGCCGCGCGAAATAGTCCCTCTTCTATTTGGTAGCGTCCTAATTCTTTGCGGCAACCGAAACTGCGTCTGTTTTACGAGTTGAATAAAGACGACTTGGTAATCCCCTGCGACGCTCTCACAACTGGCGTACAGACCTCACCAGGGGGTTTCCAAAAAGCTGATTAGCTTTTGGCGCTTGGACCCAGTACTGGTTATCCATTCATCTACACACATAGACTTGGC